TCATCAAGCCTTGCTTCCTTCTCTTGATCATTCTTAGTGTTTCTTTGTTGCTTTCTAAGTACTTTTGAGTTGTTTTCATTAGTTGCTTTTAGTTTTTAAATCCCGAGCACTTTACATTCCTTTATTGAGCTYTGTTTTGTTTCCRTTGTTACTTAGTTATTTTCTACMYATTCAAATTTATAAAAATCCAGCACTTAGYTTATCTTTACTTTGCCKTTRCTTTATTTTTAGTTAAGAGAATTBTRKTTTTGGAGGAAAGAGCRCGTGACACTCCCCCTTGCTTGAAAKAGAAGGKCGAAGYTCTCAATCCCGAGCAAAACTCTCCGTTAGTTAACTKTTGTTTTTCACACATGCATTTCAATTTCAACCATTTTACTTGCTGTATTTTCTTCAATATGTCTTTCTAAATTCCCRTCTCTAGCCCGGTTATGGATAGYTAGYCTTTTATTTCTAAAAAGGGTTGCTAAGAAGTAGTGTTTTTGCTTTSCAYTCATTGCTCAACATGTTTTMCCAAAAARTTAGGAWTTRGAGRAGRYCACTGTAAGTCTTAACAAGTCAATACTGAAAAGGTTGCTTATTTGCATTGTTGAGTGGTTAAACCGAGGAGAGGAGCGCCTTAGACATAAGGGTTTCGGTTAAGTAGCCTAGACATAGGACCTTAACCCGAGGTTGCGACTATTTCCATCCTAAAASTAAGATATCTCTCATAATAGACATATTAGGGAATGTCTTAGGACTTTGAACTTGCTTAGACATAAGTCAAGTGAAAAGCGTAGTCGTTGGTTCCTAAAGTAAAMTGCATATYGTCCTTARCRTATCCTTGAYTCTTTKTTGGCTAACTTGAAGTAATTCGGGCTAGGTTTTACCATTATAAGACCAAATCCCAAATCCAAAACCATTATTTGTGACCACTTCCCATTTTACAAGAATCACTCATTTCAGCGTTCACTATTCATTAAAACTTTAGAGTTTGGAATTTATTTAGAAGTCTTTGAGGATCGATACTTGGATACTCCATCCATTTTATATTACTTTGACAGGTGTGTGCTTGCATCTATAGAATTTTTACCACACTTAGTGCGTGCGTTCAGCATAACCCCAGTCAATATGGCAGGTCAACAACAAAACAATGAGTTCGATCATATCCTAATGGCAGATAATAGAGACGTGGCCATGCGAGAATATGCTACCACAACATTCCAGAATTTGGATTCTGTCATCTTGAATCCCATTCTAGAAGCCGCCAACTTCGAACTTAAGCCGCTTATGTTTCAAATGCTTCAGACGTTAGGACAGTTCGGGGGCATGAACACGAAGATCTTCATGACCATTTCAAAACTTTTCATCAAATAGCGAGTGCATTTAGGTTTCCAAATATAATTAATGATGCATTAAGATTAACTAATTTCCCATTTTCTCTAAAGGATCAGGCAAGAACATGGCTCAACTTGTTCCCGCCAGGATCAATTACAACATGGGGGTCGTTAGTAGAGAATTTCCTTACAAAATATTTCCCTCCTACTCGCCATGCTGACAGAAGGGAAGAGATCGTCATCTTTAGACAATGCGATCGTGAACCAGTGCACGAGGCAAGGGAGAGATTGAAGGAGTTGCTGCAAAAGTGTCCAAACCATGGATTACTAGCATATATCCAGATTGAGCACTTCTTCTGAGGTTTGGACCATCCCACTAAGATGATGTTCAACAATGCTGCAAATAGAGCATTCACGAAGAAGACCTTCAATGAAATAGTTGATATTTTGGAGGACCTAGCTTCCCACAATGAGCTATGGTGTTCTCAAAGGTCGAAACCTGCACTTAAGAAGCAAGACACAACAGAAGTGGTGGCATTGGACATGGCAACACCAATGCATAAAGAAATGGTGACAATGAACCAAATGTTCAAGCAGATGGCTTTGGACAGGAAGAATACACTGTCCACACCGGTGCAACCAGCACAACCTGTGCAACTTGAATATACTGCCCCCTATTCTGTTTGCCAAATGACTGAAATTATTTGTTCTTATTGTAATGATAATCATCTTTATGAGAATTGTCCATATAATCCAGCTTCTGTTTATTATGTAGGTCACGAGAACAATCAGAACATTAACCCATATTCAAACATGTACAATCTGGGGTGGAGACACTATCCCAACTTTTCATGGGGAGGTTAATGAAGTTCTAGTGGAGCAACCCAAGGGCAGCACCAACAGTACAAACAGCCCTATGTTCCACCTACTTACCCAAATAATCAACCACCATCACAGCAGTTTACTCAGAATCGACAAGTTTAACCACAGCCAGCCCAGAATAATAATTATAGCCTTCAGAATATGATGAAGGAGTACATGGCTATAAATGATACAGCAATGAGAAACTTAGAGAGACAAAAGGGAGAACTCGCCAATGATTTGAAGGAATACCACAAGGCTCTTTTCCTGGACATACTGAAGTTCCAAAAAGAGATGGAAAAGAGCAAGGCAATGCGGTAACTTTGAGAAGTGGATTATCTTATGAAGGACCAAAGATGCCGGTTCAGGTAGAGAAACCTTCCACATCAATCCAGAATGCACATAGTGAAGCAGAGAAAGAAAAAAACATCATGGGTGAGGGGGAGGCACCTGGCGCCTCTCCACAAAAAAATTCATCTTTTACCGCGATTCCTCCTTTCCCTCAAAGATTAGCCAAGAAAAACCAAAAAACTCAGTTTAGGAAGTTTTTAGACATCCTTAAATAATAGCACATTCCTTTAGTTGATGCCTTAGAGCAAATGTCAAATTATGCTACGTTCCTAAAGGATATTGTGTCTAAGAAAAAGAAGTTAGGTGAACATGAGATGGTAGCAATGGCTAAGTGTATTAGTGAAGCTGTAGGTAGCCCTTTGCCCATAAAATGTAAAGATCCCGGCAGTTTCACCATCCCTTGTTCAATTGGAGGAAAGAATTTAGGTAGAGCTCTATGTGACTTAGGAGCTAGTATTAACCTCGTGCCCTTATCTGTTTTCAAGGAGTTATGCATCGGAGAAGCTAGACCCACAACAGTTACCCTCCAATTGGCGGATAGATCAATTAAGAAGCCTGAAGGAAAAATAGAAGTTGTTCCAGTTCAGGTAGATAAATTTATCTTCCCTGCAGGCTTCATCATCTTAGATTGTGAGGCTGATTTGGATGTACCCATCATCTTAGGTAGACCTTTCCTAGCTACAGGAGATACAGTATTTAATGTTCGAAAAAGAGAAATAACAATGAAGGTTAATAATGAGGAGGTTAAGTTTAATGTTTTGGATGCAATGAAACTTTCAGGAGATTTATAAGAATGTTCAGGTATTTGTATTTCGAACCCTGCTTCGTTTGATGAGTTTTATGATCTTTTAGTCATAAGAATTGAGAAAGAACTAGAAGTAGTTGAAAAGTCGCATCCACCAGAGGAGAAAGAGGAAATAGAGGCTGAAGTGTGAAAAACATTGCAACCATCCATCGTGGAGCCCCCACTATAGAAAAAAAGTCATATGCAAGAAAATTTTTCGAAAAAATAGTATGAAAATAGATTTCAAAAGAAGAAAAATCAAGTTCAAAAAAGAGTGGGGGAAAGAAAAGAAAAATAAAAGTGAGAGAAAGACAAGAGTGGTAAGAAACATGAGCGGCAAGAAAATGCACTTACTTTTTCGCGAGTCCCCACTATAGACATTCATTTATCTTTAAAATGGCTGGCGTTAGCATCTTGGAGGGTAGTAGCCAACGTATTAAGGTGATATCGTGAAATCCATTGTCGACATCATTTTATGCCGGATTGCTACCTAAAGAGTTTCTATTAATGGCTGTGGTTGGAAACCGATGTTAGTGTGTGGAAAACCTCAGGGGCCAGTAGCCGGTCCACGTGTCTTCTTGATGTGAACTTTTTGAATCAAAATGGAAGTGTGCATATTCCTTAGTTTATTAAAAAGTTTTGTGTTTTAGAAAAGAAGAGGATTTAGAATCATTTTTATTCTCAAAACAAGAATGGTTTATGGTATATTTGCTTGAGATTAAAGTTAGGATGTTTAACTTTTGGAGTCCTTCCTGAGACGAAGATGATTCATTTACTTTGAATCTTGGGATTGTTGCTCATTCATCTTTCTAGCTTGTTGATTGATATGGATTTGTTGTTGTTGTTTTTGCTCAAGGACAAGCAAATGGCTAAGTTTGGGGGTGTGTTAGAGTTGAGTTTTTAGTGTAGAAATGTGCGTCGGTAGGCCTGTTTGACCACAAATTGGAACCCTTTTCCATCATTATTTGCCAAAAAGGATTACATATTCTTAAAGTAGAACATGCATAGAACATTTTTGGATACATTGTAATATATGGTACTTTAGGAAAAAATATGAGTAAAACGTGGTCAAAGTTCGAAGAAAATCACAGAATATGTCTTGTAAGGAAATTGCGCCTGGTGCAATTTTGAAGTCAACATTTGCCAAAACATGCTTTAACTTAATGAAGGGAAACGAGACCATTTCTAGCATTTTTTAATCAAGCTAAAACCACGAGTCCAAGTATGTTAGGGGAATCTCAACCCATTTCCACCTAAAATGATGGGGAGTTCAACCAACTCAAGAGCCTATAAACGGCAGCCACTCTCCCAACAGCAAATCATCTCTTCAAAGCTCGTTTTCAGTTTCATTTACTTCCTCCTTCGTTGCAGTTTTCACTCATGTGCTTAAGATTTATATTTTAGTTGTTATTTCCTTGTATTTTCGCACTTTTGCTTACCGTATTACTTTTAATTCAATTTCTACCTTTTGTTCTTCATTTATTATGTTCTTTTAAGGTTCTTAAGCGAGTTTACACTCCCCTCACGCTCGAAAGAGAATAGGGTCAAGCTAGAACCCCTTGTACGACTTATTTATTCGTTTAAATTCAATGAAAAATACTTTCGTTATGTTCTCGTGCGTTTCCTTTCCTTTAATTATGCACTAATTTAGTTATCAACCTCTTTGTGGAATGCTTTAGCCAAAATGATTTAATTTTCAACACGCTCGAGATTTTGCCCAGATTGCGCCTAGCGCATTATTGGGTTGGTTTCAAAAAACTTATCTTTATGTCTTTTTCCATTTGGCTAGTGGAATCTTGATTTATACACTAAAGTCAAACTCTGAGAAGGGTGTGTTAAGTAAAATAATAGGAAACCAATATGGGATTTGACTTAGACATAAGCGCATTAAACATGATCCTAGACATAGGCCCTCAGGCCCATAATGCGAATGAGTTGACAAGTATTCTCTAGGATTGTAATAACACATAGAAATATGATTGTAGGTTACCCTAGCCTCTGCAGCAACCAAAAGCGGTAGTGAAAGAGTATAACTCAAATTCCCAAGAAAAGCCAGATTGCGACTGGCGCATTTTCCAAACAATGTGTATCTTCCATATTTTGCATTAAAACTAAGGTAGGAAGCAAGGATGTTGAGTTTTATAAAATTGCTTGACATTTTTTGTCACTATTTTCTTCATAAACCACAATTGTATATTTGAACCATTTACTTCTTTTAAACTATTTTGAAAAGCAACAAGTCCCTGAGAATTCGACCTTGGATTACTCCCAAGTATTACTTGTGACCGTGTGCGCTTGCACAAGTCTGTAATTGTTTTAAAGGTAGCGAAAGTCCCAACATATATCTCCACCATAACCATTAGTGAAGAAATTTTAGACCCACGAACATGGACCATATGGTGTTTAATGGTGCTTCTAACGAGCTAGGTCATGGTATAGGGGCTATATTGATATCACCCCAAAGAGATCTATTCCCTCTCACCATCAGGTTATATTTTAACTACACACATAATATGGCTGAGTACGAAGCATTCTCTATGGGTGTCCAAGCGCTATTGATATAAAGGTCAAGAAACTCAAAGTTCGGGATATTCTATGTTAGTAATTCATCAGATAAGAGGAGAATGAGAAACAAGAGATACTAAGTTGTGACCTTACAAACAACTCATAACGGAATTGTCACAAGAGTTTGATGAAATCTCATTTGATTATTTATTAAGAGAAAATGATCAAGTAACAGATGTTTTGGCCACATTAGCAATTATGTTCAATCTACAACTCAATGAGAAGGTCCGTCAAATTAAAATTGAGAAGAGAGATGTCCAGACATGTTGCATGAGCATTGAGGAAGAACCTGATGGCAACCCTTGGTTTCATGACATCAAGCAGTACATCAAGAGCAAAGAATATCCACTCAATGCTTCGGAAAATGATAAGTGCACCCTTCGCAAGTTGGCAATGAAGTTTTTTTTTTTTAAATGGAGAAATACTTTACAAGAGAAACCACGACATAGTTATCCTAAAATGCATCGAAGGAAGAGAGACCAACAAGATTATGGAGAAAATCCATGAAGGAGTTTGTGGTACTCATACGAATGGGCATATGATGGCTAGACAAATTTTAAAAGTTGCCTATTACTGGTACACTATGGAGACAGATTTCATCAAATATGCAAGAAAGTGTCAAAAATGTCAAATTTATTCGGACAAGGTCATAAAGAAACCAGAAGGAAAAACAGAAGATGTACTTGTTAAGGTTGATAGGTTTATTTTTCATGCCGATTTCATAATTTTGGATTCTGAAGTAGATCTTGAGGTGCCGATAATTATCGGAAGGACATTTTTAGCAACGGGAGACACTGTATTCAACGTTAGGAAAGGAGAAATCACTATGAAGGTCAATGATGAGTAAGTCACGAAAAACGTCTTTGATGCGATGCGTCCCCAAGATGAAGTCAAGGTGTGCTCTGCTATAGGAGCAACCATGGAGGAACTCCAGGAGATGATTGTAGAAGACTTAGAAGCAGATTTGGCGGCGACAAACAAAGCAAGTGAAATTGCGCCAGGCGCAATTTTGACCAAAAAAAAAAGAATTTTGAGTTTTTGCAGGCAAGAGCAACTGATTTAAATGCCTTGCAGCCTTCCATCATTCAACCTCTATAATTGGAGGACCCCTATCCTGTCAATTAAAATATGCATATTTTGGTTTAAATGATACTTTGCCGGTTATCATTTCTTCGTATTTGACTCATGAACATGAATCTTTGCTTTTGCAAGTATTATCTAAGTACAAGAGGGCTATTGGATGGACCATAGCGGACATAAGAGGAATTAGCCCTACTTTTTGCATGCACAAAATTATCTAAGAAGAAGGAGCCACAAATTCTATCGAAAGCCAAAAGAGGCTTAACTCCAAGATGAAAGAGGTGGTCAAAAAGTAAATGATAAAATGGTTAGATGCTGGGGTGATCTACCCCATTTCAGATCGCAGCTGGGTTAGCCCGATTCAATTCGTTCCCAAGAAGGGTGGTATGACGGTAATAACCAACGATGATAATGAGTTGATCCAGATGAGGACGGTGACTGGTCGGAGAGTGTGCATGGACTACCATCGCCTAAACAAGGTAACGAGAAAATACAATTTTCCACTTCCTTCTATTGACCAAATGCTTAATCGTCTTGTAGGGAAGGAGTGTTATTGCTTCCTTGATGGGTATTCTAGTTACAACCAGATAACAATAGCTCTAGAGGACCAAGAAAATACCACTTTCACACGTCCTTATGGGACATTTGCATTTCAGAGGATGTTGTTCGGTCTTTGTAACGCTCCTGCCACCTTCCAAAGATGCATGACTACTATTTTTTCTGACATGGTAGAGAGAACAGTAAAACTATTTATGGATGATTTTTCTATGTTTGGAGAATTTTTTGAAGTTTGTTTACAAAATTTGGAAAATGTTTTAAAAATATGTGAAGAGACTAACCTTGTTCTTATTGTAAAAGGTGTTAGAGTTTTTTAGGACACATGGGTTTCTACCACCGTTTTATCAAAAAATTTACGCAAATTTCTAAACCTTTATGTCAGTTATTAGAAGCGGATCGACCCTTTGATTTTAATGAAAATTGTTTGAAAGCTTTTGAGACACTTAAAGATGCACTTAGTTCAGCACCTGTCATAATTGAACCAGATTTGATCTTACCATTTAAACTATTGTGTGACGCAACTGACCCTGCAGTAGGTGCAATGTCGGGTCAGCGAAAAGGTAAAGTTTTTTATCCTATTTATTAAGTAAGTAAGAATTTGAAAAGTATTGAGTCAAACTACACTGTGACTAAGAAAGAACTTTTAGCTGTTGTTTTCGCATTTGACAACTTTCGTTAATATTTTCTTGGGACTAAGGTGATAGTTTTTACTGATTATTCTGCATTAAAATACTTGTTTGCTAAAAAAGAAGCGAAAAGCCTAGGTTGTTTACATGGATATTATTGCTACAAGAGTTTGATTTA